GGACATATCACCTATAAAGGAAACCTCATCAGGCTAACAGCAAAGTTCTCAGTAGAAACCTTTAAAGTCAGGAACGATTAGGGGCTTATTTTTAACATTCTTAAAGAAAAGAAATTCCATTTGAGCATTTCATATCCTGCTAAACAACACTTCATATGCAAAGGAGAAATAAAATGTTTCTCAGAACTAAAAGAATGTGTTACCACTAGACTAGATTTACAAGAGATGCTTGAGGAATTCTAAACTTGAAAACAGAAGAAACATACCTGCTACCACAAAAACACACTTAAATGCATAGCCCACAGATCTCATGAAGCAATGAAACCACTGAGACTACAAAGAAATCAGCTAACACCATCACAACAGGAACCAGACCTCACATATCAATATTAATCTTGAATGTAAATGGTGTAAACACCCCACTTAAAAGATACAGGGTGGCAAGTTGGATAAAAACAAGATCCAACCTTCTGCTGTCTTTAAGAGACTCATCTCACATATAATGTCACCCATAGGCTCAAAGTAAAGAGATAGAGAAGGATCTATCACGCAAATGGAAAAAAAAAAAAAAAAAAAAAAGAGCAGGGGTTGCTATTCTTGTACTAGATGAAACAGACTTTAATCCAACCACAGTAAAAAAGGACAAAGTGGGCCATTATATAATAATAAATGGTTCAATTCAGCAAGACTTAACTATCCTAAGTATATATGCACCGAGATTCATAAAACAAGTACTTCCAGATCCATGAAATGACTTAGACAGCCACACAATAATAGTGGAAGACTTCAACTTCCCACTGATAGCATTAGATAGAACATCAAGTGAAAACACTAACAAAGAAATTCTGGATGTGAATTTGACACTTGATTAATTGGACCCAATAAATACCTACAGAATACTCCACTGAACAACCACAGAATATATGTCCTTCTCATCTGCACATGACACATACTCTAAGAATGACCATGTTCTTGGCCATAAAGCAAGTCTCAATAAACTAAAAAAAAAATGGAAATCATACCAAGCATATTCCTGAAGTACAGTAGAATAAAAATAGAAATCAATATCAAGAGAAACTTTCAGAAGACATTTTTGAGTGATTCTTTGTACCGGGCATTGGACTAGGTGCTGGGAATACAATGATGGACAATATGGGCATAGTCCTTGCCTTTGCAGATCTTACCTTCTAACAAGATGAAACAAGTAATTCCATAAGTAATTGGATATTTCCAATCATAAGTTCAACAAAGAGGGAATATAAGGTGATAGGAGACCTAAGATAGATTGATGACTTAACAAAGACTTGACAGATTATGTGACACTTCAAATGAACTGTAAAGGATGAGAAGCTGGAAGAAAGGGGGCAGAAGGATAAGGTGCACCTCAGGCACATGGAAGGGCATCTGCGAGGCCCTGAAGTGGGGAGAAGCATGAGCACTCGGGGAAATGAAGGAGAGCTAATATGGCTGGATCCTAGAGAGAGAAGGTTAAGTTGTATGAGATGAGACTGAAGAGTTAGGCAGGGCCTTGAGGCTACGTTTGTAATTTTGGAGTGCATGTTAAAAGCAATGACAAGTCATGAAGGATTGTAGGTAGAGAAAGGCATGATCAGATTTGAGTTTTAAAATGTTTACTCTGCCTTCATTGTGGAGAATGGACTGGAGAGAAGCAAGCATTAATGAGGGGTCCAGCTATAACGAACTGAAGTAGTCTAGGCAAAAGATTATGTGGGCATTCCATATTAAGATCAATTGATATATATATATATATATATATATATATATATATATATATATACATACACACACACACACACAATATATTTTTGAGATAAATATGGCAAGCATTGCTGATGAACTGGTTTAAGGGTGAAAGAGAGTGATGTGTTAAGGATGGCTCTTGGGTTTTTGACTTGAGTAGCAGAGTAGAAGGTGGTAGTATTTCCAAGATAGGGAATGCTGGATGAAGAGAAGATTTGGGAGTGGGATTTAAATTTTCAGTAGTTCAGCACTTTACATATTTGGAAGAGATGTTGAGTAAGATGTTGGTTATATGGATCTGGAACACAAAGAAAAGGCCCCAGGGATAGAGCCCATTAAATTATGGCTTGTATAAAGATAACAGTAAGATTTCATAGCTGAGTAAATGTCTGAATACTAGGTAAGTGCTCAAGGAATCATGGCTTTTCAACTCAGGTAATAATTCAGTACAAAATTAGTGCCACAGTGATTTCCACAGGGTAGTCAGTTTTTAGGTATCTATTATCTCATGATACTGTGACTTATCCAAATAAACATTTTAGCTTTCAATAATAGATATTTTTAGAATCACAAAATAGATAGCAATTCAGCTGTTTTGCTTTATGCTTTTTTTGCTGCAATTATTAACTCCTATATTCATCTTTACTTTGCATAAAATCAACAAAAATACATTTGAAAGAAAAGGTATTTGGGGCATTTTCTCCATGCACAAGATTGAAATTCTCCTAATGTAATAATCTTTTTCATGCCAAGAAAAGGGTATGAATGAGTTTCATGATAACTTTAGAGAAAGGACAGCAAAATATAAGTTGGTAATATTGTCCTTCTGAGGATTGTGCTTTCTATCCTTAGGGGAAAAAAGAAGGTTTTAAACTCAGGGCAGCACAGATTGGAAAATCTACACTGCAGAGTAATTGCTTGTTTATTTTGTTTCACCCTACTAAATGTAAACTTCATGAAGACAGGGTTTTTTTTCTGTTCTGTTCATTGCTCTAATCTCAGCATGCAAAATAGTGTCTTGTGCATAGCAGGTGATCAACGAATATTTGAGGAATAAATGAAATAATGAATTGCATCTTCATGGTGTAATTGTTAGAAAATTTCTGATTCCCTAGAAAGTCAGAGACATTCATATTGAAAAGTATATGTATGTGGTTTATATATTTTGTATGCATGAATAAATGTATGTAAATATAGCTCCAAAGTGTGATAGAAATACTTTTATTTATCGGGTTTTTAACCATCCATCTGTGGCTTCTCACTATTAGAGAAGATTTTGGAAAGTTTCCTGTGTTTACTCTGAGAAATCCATTTGTTTCCATTTTCTACTGTCATATCAAGAGTCTCACAAATAATATCTATTTCACTTCTGATAATACTAAAACCTTTCTTTACATACCAAGGCAAATGACAGAGGGGTTTACTGAACAATACATTAAACTTCTCAGGGGAATCTCTTTTACAGGAAATACTCATCAAAGACCATATTACAAGAGAATTGTATAATACAACAGGATGATCTATACAAGAAATTAATAAAACATGTACAATGTTGCTAATGATTATGGTAAAATACAAGAGAAATGCAGTAAAAAACCCATCAAAATACATTTTAAAGCATTTTCACGGAAATATTTACAATTAATGAACATTGAACATCTTCTAAATATAAGCCGCGTGATGGTGGTGGGCAGACAAAAAGGTGAAGATGGTAAGCACTATGAGGACAGGAACTCATCTCATCCATCTATTAGGGGAGTCAAAATCAAGTTTGGTTTAGCAAACCTTTATTAAATTCCTACTATGCACCAGGCTTAGGTTAGGTGCAAGAATGAAAATGATAAACAAGATTTGCTCTCTGCCATACTGTACAGGTGTTTATATTTATGGTGCTGTATGCCTGGGTGTGTGTATTTTTGTGTGGATATATAAGGATATGTGTACTGTATAGGAATCGACATAAAGGCAAACTGTCAAAGCAGTATGGCAGGTTAAGACAGAGTCTAACACCATGTAGGGAAACAGCCTACACACTGAGAGATGAAAGGAGGAAGAGGTGGAATCCTGACGCTATCTTTGGAATAACTGTTAGCTAGTGAATGGGAAGATCGTTCCTGAAAGAACAGCATGAGCGTGGTCAATGAGACTGGAAAGAAAACAATGTGGAGAATCATTAGCATGTTAGAGGGCAGGTGGTGTTAGGGAAGGCCCACTATTGCACTCTATCTTTGATTTATTTTGAAACTCTTGTAAAATAACTAAACAAAAAATTTCTGTCATCAAAAAAGTATCCTTCATTCCCAGCATCCCTCTTCTTTTGCTTTGGTGTTGTGAGACAGCGGAGTATTTTAAATAATCGGGAGCAGGGAGGATGGAGGGGAGCGGTGGGAGGCGACAAATCTTGAAGATACTTATGAGAGCTATGCTAGCTGTTAGGCATAGACGACCTAAAGCCCCTCATGAAATACAATAACTTTAATATAAAGGCCATTTTACCTTAATCATTTCTACGGTAGCTTATGGAAAGGAATAGATTGGAAACTAAATGAAACTAAGGAGAATCTTACACGAACTTGTCTAGTTCGCGTGGAAAATCAAATTCAGACTCAACAAACGCTTATCCAGGACAACTATGCTTTCATATATTTTTGCCCTCCTGTAAAGCAAGGCTAATCTATTGCCCGAGTGGCTGTTTGGACTAATTAGAACAAATACGGACGCGGTGAGAGTTCCATTCTGGCGAAACTAGGGTGAGAGGTTTTTCGTGGGTTTTCATTGACGAGACATGGAAACTAAAAGATATGGAATATAGTTTGAAAGTATTGGTGTGAAAAACTATGCCTCGAGGGCCAACACGAAATACAAATACGATGGCGGGAAACAGTTTTTAGGCTGGTATGAAAATCTCCTTTGTTCACAGAGCAAACACTTTTCAATTTCACTCTGCTCTCCCTGTCTCTTCACAGTTCTTGCTTCAGTATTGTCAACGGGTCTCCCACACTCATCCTGGCTAAGGGAATAAAAATCTATATCTCTTTTCTATTTCAACCTTTCAGGCTAAATGAGCTACCGCACTCCGCCTGGAAAATGAGCCGAGCTTTTAACTTAAGTGTAAACGTTGTAAATACAAAACTGTAGTCGCCTACCTGGACCTTCCACGCAAGAACTACAAAACCCAGAATGCATTGCTTTCCTTTCCGCTTCTACCGAGGGAAAGCCAAACTTGATCTCATTTCCACAAGTAATAGTCACATGACACGTTTCCCGTCAAGATGGCGGATACTCTCCCCTCGGAGTTTGATGTAATCGTAATAGGGACGGGTATGTGTATCCTGGTACTTACCGGACAAAGTTTAGGAAGACTGTCTTGTTCCTGCTTTTTCTGTCAGTGGAGAGTTTTGGGAGAAACGTCTTGGGTCGAGCGTGGGAGGGAGAACGGAAAGGAAGTGAGGTAGTCCGGAGTCAGCGCGGGACTTGGCAGCTACAGGGAGGGGCTTGGACCCGCGGTGCTTATCGCCATTTGAGTAGGGGTTGATCTGGTAGATGTCGATTGCTGAGGTTGGTTGCTGCGGTGATTTCTGTTAATTTCCTTAGAGGGAAGTGGATGTGCAGTGTCATGAAATGGAGGGTCGGGATTTTATCAACGGAGACGACTTTGGCAAGACACTATGATTCCCTCCTTGTTGATTTCAAGGTGATATTCCCCATCATTTTGTCTCGCCATTTCATGGGACTTTTTCATAGATTTGTATGATCCCAGGGTACATCGCAGCTCAGACACAGCTTCATCCTCAGTTTTACAAGAAAGATGCTCAGTTATTGCCCACGTGCGTATGAATTTACTAGGGAAAGCAAACGGATTCTATTGTGTTGAGAAACCTAGGGAATTGTATTTTGTTGAGGTAGCCATGATTCCTGCTTTATGGTGTTTAAGGCATCTTGCTTTCTACCGCCCATAAGTAAATGTGCTTAGAACAGGGTCCTGAGTTCCAGTTCAGGTGTCTGACCTTATCTAACTCTTGTTTTCCCGTCGTTTGTTCTTCCTGTGTTGGGTGGAACCAGAAACTCCTCTGCAATTTCTGGTTGACATATTAAATATACAACACGTGGCAGAAGACATATGGCAGCAATTGGAATTTTTAAAAAATAGTGTAATGGATGATCGTTTTAGATGGGATGAAATAGGTTGTTTGGTGGGGTTTTCTACTGCTTGTAGAAAGGTAGGCCAGAGAAGCTCTAGTGGATGGGACCCTGTCCATTGTGTTAATGAATTCAGTTCGTTGTCTTCTCAAACAGCCATGATTAGGAGCAGCCATGTTTTCAGGTTGGGAGTAAAAATAATAGCTACCTGTTTTTGAATGCCTAAAATTCCCTAATCACTGTGCTAAGCACTTTACAAGCTGGGCATAATCCTCACAGCCTTGTTAAAGTAGTAGGTACTTTCCACATTTTGTGGATGAGGAAAAGGGGACTTGGAAAGGTAATTTGCTCAGGATCACACAGCTGGCAAATTTCCAAAGGCCCATTCCATCCCAGAAAAACAATCAGTGGTTCTGACCCTCAGAGTTGACCCATGTTAGTAGAAATGAGAAAACTTGGTTTTAGGCTTTGCTTAGTGCTAGTGTGAATTGCTTGAATTGGGAGGCCCGGGTACTTAATCTCTCTGAGCCTCAGTTTCCTTGTTTTTGAATATAGGGAAGGTAAATTAGATGGTCTTTATGTTGTCTAGCAAAAAATGCCTATGTAACAGTTCTCAGAACAGCACGGACATGTTTACTCTTAGCCTGAAAATATCTGCGTGGCTGCAAATAACCTGGTTGTAGTTGCTATGAACAGATGTTGGATGAGAGCTGGAAAGAGCCAATGGACTATTCATTTTTTCTTTCCATTCTATACTAAAACTGAGAACAACATCCATTTTGGAATAGTTATACCATACTTGAGTTTTACATTCTTGCTTTTTTTTTTTTGTTTTTTGTTACCTAGGAACTTGAGGTGTTTTTTAACAATTTTTTTGATCAACAGTTTTTTTTTCAGGTCTGGGTTCAAATTTTAATTGATGAGTGTCCGTTCTTATTATGAAGTGCTGCAAATGCTTTTCTTAAATATTTTACCTTCTGTACAGTTCAGAATTGGAATATATCTATTCTGTTAGAGTCTGTTATGGTAGAGGTAGGAAGTTACAGTGAGTGACCCAGAAAATTGCATCAGGAGACATAGCTTATATTTGGAAAAAGACTTATTTTATACTTATCTCAGTCAGTGCAATGTTATTTTTCAGAGTTTGGGAAGAACTTGTTTGAAGTTAGTCTTAAAACTTAAATTTTTCATATTGTTTATTGGTGACATTCCAGGTTTTATCAAGCACATTGCTTAAATTGCTTAAATTTATGATGTGTAATTTTGTTTGTAGGTACATCAAAAGGGTAAAAATTGAGTAAAGGAGTCATTTCCCAAATAAATGATTCCAACCATTCCAATCATTACTTAATTGGATTTATTTTTTAGTGTGCTTGGAATATTTCTTTTGTGAAATAGTTTGCTGAAAGTAGCCTTTAAAATATTTGATTTATTAAATGTACTACCTTGAGTAAATCATAGAAAAAGCAGTGTTTCATAGATTCAGTTGTATTAACAGAAGCAGCAATGCATGCATCAGAAATTGGCTATTAGATGTACTTTTTAGCAGATTTAGTCCTAATTAAAATGTCATAAAGGGACAATTGCCTCATCAAGTATAATCATGTGAAGACAATATTCTATAATCCCTTTGACCTTGATTAACTTGTATTCTCATTTTCTGTAATATAAGATGGAAACTTTTCCTTAAGATCATATTTTCAGGAGAATATGGGATAAAAATAAACTTTGTATTTTCTTAGTTAAGCCCATCTCCTTCTGATTAGAAAATACAGTAAATATCTCATGAACACCCAAAGACAGAAGAGTAAGATAAAGTGAATTCTGGAAAAAAATAGAAGAAAATGGAATAAAGAAGGAGAAACCAATGGAGTCTCAAGGGAGAGGATAAAAATAGATGTATGTGGTAAGTGTCTAGAAAGTGGTCCTCAGCTTGGGTACAGAATTGTCATTTTCAGTGTTTTTGCCATTTAAAAAGTCATTTAAGTGACTGTTTTGTGGATTATAGACAAGTACCATTGGTTTCAGGTTAAAAATAGTCCCAGTAACATAACATCTCACTGGAGGTGACTTATCTGGCAACCTGTGTAATCTGCAGCACAGCAGAGCCAAGAACTCAACAGAAGAGCAGGCAAGATAGAAATTATAAGACAGGCGTCCCCAAACTTTTTACACAGGGGGCCAGTTCACTGTCCCTCCGACCGTTGGAGGGCTGCCACATACTGTGTTCCTCTCACCACCAATGAAAGAGGTACCCCTTCCTGAAGTGCGGCGGGGGGCCGGATAAATGGCCTCAGGGGGCCGCATGCAGCCCGAGGGCCATAGTTTGGGGACGCCTCTTATAAGATCTATTTGATAATATTGACATACTTTATACATAGGGGAATCCCTGAGATCATCACTTAGAACATATTTATCCTTATTTTAAAAATAAATCTAGCAAGCTCAGCATATTAGAACCACTCCCTTAGAAGATACAAGGAACATTATCAATTTCTGCAAAGACTGTGTTTGGTGGGGAGTGCTATTAGACATATAAATGACAATTTATGTCTGTATAGGAAAGGGAAGAGAAAAACACCTAAAATGCAAACCTACATCAAACATCAAAAAGGCCTGATAACGTTTAGTGTAGTGAGAAATGCTCATTTTTCAGGTCATCCAACCCACATTTATTGAGAACCTATAGTTCCTTCCCTTGTGAAGTTTACTGTATTGCCTGTTCTCAGGAACTCTTTGGGCTTCCTAGCAGTCGTATCCCCAAAGCTGTTCTTAAGACAATGCAGGCTTTTCATTGCATCCTTCTTTCTTTTTGAAAACCATATATAGAGGTTCAGCCTCCATTTTTATTTCCTTTTAAAAGCACACTGCTCACATTATCTTTTGGAGTTCTTCCCTAAGATGGGCTGCAGAGCAGGTTAGCTTAATTTTTCTCCTGCATAGCATAAACACATAGATTCTTTTAAGAGTCGTCCCCCCCCCACCCGCCAGCCCCCAGCGTGGTGGCATGGGCCTGTAATCCCTGTTACTTGGGAGGCTAAGGCACAGGCATCCCTTGAACCTGGGAGGTGGATGCAGTGATCTTAGATGGTGCCACTGCACTCTAGTCAGGGAAACAGAGTGAGACTGTCTCAAAAAAAAAAAAAGGTTTCATTGGCCAGGTGCAGTGGCTCATGCCTGTAATCCCAGCACTTTGGGAAGCTGAGGCAGTTGGATTGTTTGAGCTCAGGAGTTTGAGATCTGAGCCTCCCACGTTCCTGAAATGGGTAACACAGCAAAACCCCATCTCTACAAAAAAATACAAAAATTAATTGGGTGTGGTTACACATGCCTGTAGTCCCAGCTACTTGGAAGGCTGAGGTGGGAGGATTGCTTGAACCTGGGAGTTTGAGGCTGCAGTAAGCTGTAGTTGTGTCACTGCACTTCAGCCTGGGCAAAGAGCAAGACCCTGTCTCAAAAAAGAAGTGTTATTGCTAAATATTATGGGGAAAGAGAAGGGAGAACAAAAATAAGCGTGGGGGAGATTACAAGGAGTATTCCCCCTAAATCCTGATTACCTTGCTTAGCATCATACAGTAAGAGATGTGGCAGCATGGTGTATGGTAATCACGTGACCATCCTATTGTATGACTCTGGGAAAATTACAGAATTTCTTGTGACATCATTTAGTTCATCTGTAAATTGAGAGATTTCAATAGGTGATCTCCAAGGTAGGGGTCTACCAGCTCTAAAATTACCATTTTATATATCAGTGACACCATGTCCTTGAAAAAATGCTAAATTCTGTTCTGTATAGTCTTTTTAAGAAGTAAAGTCAGTGTTTAATGTACTTCAGAAATTTTTCTATCACAATGGCTGGTATGATTTGAATATTTGTCCTGCCCAAATCTCATGTTGAAATGTTATTCTCATTGTTGGAGGTGGGGCGTGGTGGGAGGTGTTTGGGTCATGGGGGCGGATCCCTCATGGCTTCGTGCTGTTCTTGCAATTGTGAATGAGTTCTGGCAGGATCTTGTGGTTTATTTTTAATATTTTTTTGAGACAGGGTCTTGCTGTGTCACCACGGTTGGAGTACAGTGGCACAGTCATGGCCCACTGCAGCCTTGACCTCCTGGGCCTAAGTGATCCTCCCACCTCCCACCTCAGACTCCCAAGTAGCTGAGGTCACAGACATGCACCAC